CTGTTTATCCTGCTGGTGATCAGATCTGAACAGATCAACTGGTTTTAAAATTAAACCGTTTTTGTTTTAAATGCATACATCCTGGTAAGTTTGCATTTCTAATAATCATACCAAATATTTCAGTATGCTTTGTTACACATAAGTTTAAATGTCTAAAGTACATTGAAAACCATGAATGAAACCTCATATACATCATATATCAGACCTACTGTAATAAATGAGCTAAATCTTTGGTTTTCAGTGAGAGTCCAAATCGGATGGCAGCTCTCTCTGAGAAAATGCTGACAATCAGCATGTTATTGACTGTCGTCTTTCTTCCAGGTGAGCTGTTTGTTTAATTCCTTTCATTTAGAGACATCAAAAGAATAATTTCTATTCTGAAATGTTAGATTCTGACCTTATTTAAAGGCTCCACATGTAGCATGCTGAAGCTGAACTGGATATGTGGATCGTATTCCTGCAGGCAGATTTCGCTCCACATCATTTTCATTATTTGTCTGTTTTTCCAGGTACATTGGCTAGCTGTGGTGATATAAAACCAGGCCTCAAAATCACTACACCAAGGAGGATTGAAGCTCTGAGTGGATCGTGTTTGGAAATCCCATGTACCTATGATACAGAGGATACCAGATATGACACAGACAGAATTACATATGGAGTTTGGATGAAAAACTTTGGCCATTATTCAAATATAGTTATTTTCAACAGTAGTGGGTCAGTTAACACCTATTCACTGAATATTATTGGGAACCTGACAGAAAAAAACTGCACCACTCTATTTCCCAATCTAATGACCAGTTACACTGACAAATATTTCTTCAGGATTGAGAACTGGCCATTTAGAGCAACAGCTTGTGATGATCCTCTCAATATAACAGTTAAAGGTAAGAGAGCTTCAATATTATCAGTTTGTGACATTAATGTTAAGAAATAACTCACTTTGGTTTAATTTAAATGAACAACATACCAATCTACTATTAAATAAAATATACACAAAATAATTTTTTACATCTTAGTCCGAAGAGCCTTTTCTGTTTTTTCCTTTTCTCCTTTTTTCTTTCAGAACATCTGTTATGTTTTATTTTTTATTTTTTTGCTTCAAAGCACTTTGTGATCTACGTCTAAAAAATATATGCTGTAAAAATAGTTTCATTTAAAGTCAATATTAAAAGAAGTTAATTTCAAAACAGTTCAATATTTTTTTCCCTAATTTTCTGTTCTCTTTTTTGGCACCACCTGGTGGTGTCTTGAAGACATTGTGGGAAAACCTGGTCTGATTTAGAGAGAAGGCATCCGTCCCACTTTGGATGGTTCAGCTTTTTTTTCTAGGAATCTGGCCGAATAATTAGTCCTCCAAAAGCCTGCCCAGGGTGCAGACCAGAAAGTAGAATCGTAGTTTAACACCCCTCTCTGCAACTTCTCTACTATTATCTACTCATTACTCCATCCAGACGGTGTCTTGCCCATGACCAAAATCAAAGATCCTCAAAGTAGTAAATCATCAAAATATAATTAAAATAAGAATAACTCCAATTGGAGAAAAAGTTAAAAAGATCAAATGTGGTTTATTTAACATAAGATCTCTTTCTCTAAAGTCTTTTACTGGTAGTTCATGACTTGATTTGTGATAATCACAATTATGTTGCCTTACAGAAACTTGGCTGCAGCAATAGGATTATGTGAGCATAAATGAGGCAACTACTTCGGTTATTTAAATTTTCACATACCCAACAATTTCAGGTGAGAAGGAGCAGCAATCTTTCAGTCTGACTTACTGATTACTCAAAAGTCAGTCAATAATCACAACTCTTTTGAACTTTTAACCCTTAGGCCCCGTCCACACGAAGCCAAACCCTGGCCTAAACGCACAAATTTTTCACCAAACCAGCCTCTCATCCATACGAAGCCGGCGTTTCGGGGGTCTGTAAACGATCTTTTTTTATTCAGCCTTCAGTGGGAAGATTTTGAAACGCCGTTTTCGCGTTTCCATCTTTAAGCTCTAACCGCATTTTTTTTTTACACACATGCGTCATAGCGTCGCCTCTAAACACGCATGCGCGACACAGTATCACAACAACAATGGCGCCGTACTGTGTTGAATGGTTGCTGCTAATGCTACTCACCCTGCTGTCGGGCTTACAACAGAATCTTCTTCTTCTGGAATATCTCCAGGAAGAACAGAGCAATATAGACGACATAGTTCAGCACCTGAATCTGACTAAACCACGAAAATGGACCCGCAGGGCAACCATGTATAAATATTAGTGCGCATGCCCAACATTTCGTCGCCTATTTTTGCTTTGGCACCACAGCGCCACTTATAGGCCTGGCATACATTTTGCAGCGTTTTCATGCATTCGTGTGGACGATCACATTTATTTTACGTCTCCGTCTTTACGACAAACGTTCTGGAAAATATTAGCGTTTCGTGTTCGTTTTGACTTCGTGTGGACGGGGCCTAAGTTTCCCTCATCCAATTTGCGAAGCCACAAAACCTCTTCTTTTTGTACTGTAACTTTGTATCATCCACCAGGTCCTTATTTTGAATTTTTAGATGAGTTTTCATAGTTCCTATCTGATTCGTTGTTGAATTCTGACAGGGTCACCATAGTGGGGGATTTAAACACCCATGCTGACATTGAAGGTGATAGCTTAAGAGCAGCCTTTAATGCTATCTTTGTTCAAAATGTGAATAGTCGCACACATTCTCATCTTCATACTTTGGCCTTTGTGCTGGCATATGGCATTGAATGTGAATAAATAACAGTATTTCTTCACAACCCTGTCCTCTCTGACCACTTTTTAATGGCCTTTGAGATTATTTAACAGAGTTTTCCTCCTCCCCAAAAAGAAGGTTTGAATTTAGCAGATCATTATCAGATAATACAGTTATAAGTTTTAAAGAAACCATTTCCCCTACCCTCTCCTCTGTGTCACTAAGCAATGCTGTAGAGGGCAAAAGTTTAGTTTATTCTCCTTCAGGTTGATGATTTTGTTCATTGGGTTGCTAGTTCTCTGAGTACTACCTTAGACAACACAGCTCCTTTGAAAAAGGAGCTTTGAAAAAACTTTGAAAATAGAAAGCTGGCTCCCTGGTTTAATGCAGAGCTGCGCACTCTGAAGCAAAATGTTTGGAAACTGGAGAGAAAATACCACTATACATGCCTACAGGAATCAAACCTAGACTGGAAAAATGTTTACTGCTGTATACAATGACCCTTCAAGGTGCCAAATTCTTTGAGGACACAGCACTGACAGGAGATCAGATCTGAACAGAGGAAGGTAGGATAATCCAGAGGGCAAAGTCAAAAAGCAGATCCAGTTTCAAACCACAAAAGAATCAACAGGAGTCCAAAGACAGATAGGCAAAGGGGCATGAAGGCTCAAAGGTCCGAAGACAGAAACATGATCAGGCAAACAGAACAATATAAGTAATGCTAAAAAACTCTCTACACTAAAGGCTCAAGAACAATCTGAGTGCAGATGGCTCAAGAATAATCCTCAAACTGATGGCTGGGACCAAGCAGTTCAAATAGAAGCAGGAGCAGGTGGATCAGTTGAGCAGTGGAGAGAGAGTTAGAGTAGACAGGTGAAAGAAATAAGAAATTAAGCCAGCCATCAGCTTCAAGATCATGACATAATATTCTTTAAGAAAGAACATTTATGCTGATGATATGCAGCTCTGTCTGTATATAAATCCAGATTAATCTAATTCATAAAATGCTCCTGAATGCAGACAAAACAGAAGTAATAATCTTTGGACCAGTCAGTCACTTCAATTTGATGTGATTAAATTGATCTCAGATAGAAGAGTAAAAAATCTTGATGTCATTTTTGATCAGGACCTGTCATTTAAATCCCATATCAAAGACGTCTCTGAAATACTGCTTTCACCTATGGAATACTGCAAAAAACTTTAAATATCCTGTCCACAGGTGATGCTGAGACACTATTCCATGCATTTGTTAATTCAAGGCTGGACTATTGTAATTCTTTACTATCAGGAAGTTCACAAACTGTAGTTAAAAGCCTTCAGTTGATCCAAAATGCTGCAGCCAGAGTTCTGATGAAAATTAAAAAGAAAGATAAATCTCTCCTATCTTAGCTTCTCTTCACTGGCTTCCTGTTATATCCTGAATAGAATTTAAAATCCTCTTTTTCACTTATAAAGCCTTAAATGGCAAAGCTCCATCTTGTATCATAGATATGGCTGTTCCTTATGTTCCTAACAGAGCACTTTACCCTACATCTGCAGGTTAACTAGTGCTTCATAGAATTTCTAAAAGTAGAATGAGAGGCAGATTTTATTTATTGGGCTCCTCTCCTGTGGAACCAACTACCAGTTTTAGTCAGTAAGACAGACACCCTGTCTACTTTTAAGGGTAGGCTTAAAACGTTCCTTTTTGATAAACCTTATAGTTAGAGTGGCTCAGGTTATCCTGTGCAAACTCTACAGTTATGCTGCTAAAGGCTAAACGCTTAGACTGCTGGAGGACATAGGGACCCATATTTCATCATTCTGCTTCATTCTATCTCTATCCTCCCATTCTGCAGAATTTGTTTGTTAAATATCTAATGTTATGCTCTCTCTGCTTTTTATCATATTACAGTAGCTTCATCTGTATGGCTGTGACGTCATCCCGGAGAGGGTCTCAGCTATGCTGCTGCCATCAACACATTTGTTTGTGGATGTTGGGGCTTGGCCTGTTTTTAGTGTAGTCCTGGTTCTCTGACTGTGACAAACTGTATGTGCTCTCTTTCATTCTCTGACATGGGAGCTGGCTTAGAGCTTTCCTGCCTGGCTGTGTGTTTCCTGGACAGGGCCACCTGTGGAGCTGGGTGCCAGTTGCCTTTTGTATCTCTGCTTCTTTTTCTTTGTCTGCTTCTGTTTCCTTGAACCCCAGCTAGCCTCTGTAGATGGCCAAGCACACTAAGCCTGGTTCTGCTGGAGGTTTCTTCCTGTTAAAAGGGAGTTTTTCCTCTACACTGTTGCTACAAGCATGCTTGGTATGACGGATTGCCTTCAATTCAATGAGTCAATGCAATCAACTGGTTTTCCTTAGACATAAATCTTTGAATTGGTTTCACTGGTGGAATTGTCTCTGTAAAGTGCCTTGAGATGACATGTTGTTTATTGGTGCTATATAAATGAATTGAATTGAATTGAACACCCTGCACAGGTTACCGTTCAATCATTGGAAGCTTACATTATAAAAATTGATAGGTATTTATTTTTGTCAAACGTTTAATCTGAACTCCCAGATTCTCCTTGGAGTCCCAGTATCGATATCCCTGTTGGTGATCTGAAGGAGCATCAGTTTGTCACTATAAGCTGTTCAGCTTTGACTCCCTGTCCACACTCACCTCCTGAACTCACCTGGAATCTCCAACAAGACTCTAAGAGACAAACAGAGAAAAACAAAGATGGAACCTTTACAAATAAAATCCAGGAGACCATCACTCTGTCAGACACACATGATGGATACAACATCAGATGTTCTGCCAGATATCCTGTGAATGGAGGAAGCAAGACAGCAGAGACAGAAGTGACTCTCAGTGTTTCATGTTAGTGATCCTGTCAGCATGTCATGGTTTAGCTGTTTCTGATCAATAAAGTTAATGTGTGTCCCATTTTCCTCAGATGCTCCTAAAGACACCTCAGCATCCATCAGTCCATTGGGTTTGGTTTCAGCAGGTAGCTGGGTGGAGCTGAGCTGCTCCAGCAGAGCCAAGCCTCCTGCCGGCTTCACCTGGTTCAGAAACAGCAAACATGGAGCCATTAATGTATCTGTGGGGCAGGTTTACAGATTCAAAGTTACCGAGGGAGGAGAGTATTACTGTGAGGCTACAAATGATCTGGGGACTCAGAGATCATTAGTGACCCTACTTAAAGGTAAATATTAGACCAGTCTTAATGGATCTTTTCACGTCTGACATGCTAAATTCAATAATTATGAGATGCTTCTGTGTTAAAGTGTAAAAACAGGGAAAATGTGGAGATGTTAGATCGTTTGAAAATGCTGTAAAAACATATCTCCTTTGACCCCCAATTGAGACTGTTGGACTTTGAGGACCTCATTGTAAAAAATCCAAATAAGGAGCCCAAAATTGGGTGGCAAGAAACAAGGTAAAAAAGTGGATTGGAATAAGTGGTTCTGTTGTGTGATATCTATAACCATCAGTGTAAAAAAACAAACATTTTCATTTAAGTGAACATATTGCTTGCGCATAGCAGGTAGTCATGAAATAAAGATATGGTTATAAGCCATAAAGACGGAGATAATAATGATGATTTAGTCAAGAAATAATAACAATGACAATGCTAACTGCTATTTATGGAACACTTTATATAAGTGTAGGTGCAAAAAAAAAAAAAACATAAAAAAGATAAATAGAACTAAAATATCTATGAAAGATTAACCCACTGCTTTTTTTTAGATCGCAGCTGAACGTCTCATTTTAGTCTTCTAAAGATGCAGATGGAAATGTCAGGCGACCTTTTTTGTCCAACACTTACCAAACATTTAATTTCGGCTGCTAAATGTAGTTCGGGTCGCAAACACCTCGATATGACGGTTGCTTCTGCACCTCTAATTTTGTTCTCCTGAAGGTACCAAATTAAAAGCCTGTATTTTTTCCATTATCTACACGTCTAATTATAACATTCACTGGACCTCTACAGTAAATGTGGTGCAGAATTAATGCAAACCTGATGATTGGCACCCCTTAGCCAATCATTGGCGACCCCTGTGGCCACCCCTACCATTTTTTCTCCTCTGATACAGATGGTGGGAGCTGTAATACTCTTAAGTGATATATTGATTTAATTTTTTCATGTATTAATTACTTCTTTTCATGTATTCCTTATCTCTTGACAACAAAAACACAGTTGTTAATTATGCACATCAATATAGTAATATTAAATATGACAAGTATAGAATTAATGCTCTTTTTAGAACTCGGTTTTGTGTTATATGAGGTAAAGACAAAATGATGTGCAAATCATCTAGGAGTCTTCAGTGAAATAATAGATAAATAACTATTTAATAAAAACATATTTTGTCTTTTCTTTGGCTTGACCCTGAGGTTCTGGTGCCTATCCACTTGCGGCCACCCATCACTGTTTTTGTTGGTTGTTACCTGGCCACCCCCTATAAAAAAACTCTGGCTACACCTCTGTTAAATCAATAAAATTGCATGAATCATATTGCCGGGCTTCTCCTTAATTTTGTTAATAGGCAATCAACTTCCTGTTTACATCTGGAACTAAATGTCTTCCAAGTCTGTAATCAGGTTGTAGTGATGTCAACATGGGTGCTGCAAAATGGATGTTTATTGAGTGGACACTCACATAAAGACCTCTCTTTAAGCAGTGGGTATTTCACAAAAATAGAATAAATGGTCTGCACATGTATTGGACACCCTTTTGACATCAGAAAGGGAAATGTTCAAGCATTGACCTTATTTGCATGGTACGTAGCCATCCATAATGGGTCATCAAACGACAGACCTAAAATGTACGTGATCTGCACATCTATCAGACCTCTTATGTTTAGGGAGGAATATAAAATGAATAAAGCTGGAAAAGTTGTCTTTGTCTTCTCCTTAATTCCCTTGTGTTTTTTTATACACACTGACCATTTTAAGATCTGGTCCCAGTAGCCTATGATACATATTTGTCGTGTTAAACCTTTAACGCATCAACATTTATTTAATCTATTTTAGGACCCGGTCTCTGTGTTACATTAAAGATCCTGGGGATAATAATGCTCTGCAGTGCAGTCTGCATCTTTCAGTGGTGAGACTCGCTTTTCTATGAGTTGATACTTTGAGGTGACCTGCTGGTCTCTGTTACACGTTGGGGTTGGTTAATTTCTATTTTCTTTTCTTTCAGCTGGTTTTATTCTAAAACAAGCAAGGAAAGGTGGTAAGCTAGTTGAGCTTGTTGTTTATGTCCAGTCAGTGTGTAAAAATAACAATTGGGTAATCTTACATTCATACATCCTAGCTGTTATTATAACTTTCATTTCGACCATCAACAGTTATTACCAATACAATAACTCTAGTTCATAACAGCATTTTACAGCCTATTCTATAACACATTGTGAAACTTCCACAGGACACAGAAGAAGCAGATGATGTCAACAAAGTGATGGAGGATCAGGCATCATAAACCTCAAGGAGACTGTGAGATAGCCTGGCCAAGTGGCTGAAGAAGGCAGTAGGCAGATGTCCAATGTAGCAGGTGGTTTATTTACATTGCAAAACAAGGGTGCAAAAAAAAGTATTTACAAAAGAAATTTCCAAAAAAATAACTCAGAGGTTTAACATGGCTCAACAGAACATTAACTGAACTTAAATCAACCATAAATAATGTCAAGTGCACCCAGCTACACTGACCTAGTTCCTCTCTCTTCTGAACCTCAAACAGCTCTGTCTTATACCTGTTTGGTCTAAAACACAAAATGGCCTCCAATGGACTCTTCCATTAACAAATATGGCTGCTCCATTCACTCTCTACCTAGCTGTTGTTACATACTATAATTTTAAGCAAAATGTACTGAATAAACACCATACAAATATTTACATCTAAATGTAACATTGGCAAGGATTTTAAATAGTTAACAAAATGTAAAAGGATTTTCATCCCCCCCTCTTCCTCTGGTATCTTCCTGTGACCACAGCTCTACACAGGGGTCTCTAATTGCAGGAAGTGAGGTCACACTTCCTCCTGAAAGACAGGTAAGGTAAATTCACCAAAATAAAACACAAAAGTTACATAAACAAAACCTTGAAAAGTTATCACCTGATTTAAACCAAGATGTTATACTAAATTATCTGTAAAAATGCAAACATAAACAAACCCGGGATAGTAAATGAATGCAAACTTCAGAATAAAGAGATGGTTAAATCAAGCAAACAAAATAAATGTATAAACTGAGACAAATGGTGTTCTCACCCACTTTGTCACACTCCCCCCCCCTTAAGGCCGTTATTCCTCTGAGTAACGGGACAGGAAGTCAGCAATAACATTCTTATGTCCTGGTCGATACTGGACCTGAAAACGAAAAGGCTGAAGGGACAAATACCATCTTGTTATCCTTGCATTAGTGTCTTTCATGTTGTGGATCCATTGTAAAGCCCGATGATCAGTTTCAAGAACAAATTCTTTTCCAATTAGGTAATATCTCAGTGTGTCTAAGGCCCATTTAACTGCCAAAGCTTCCTTTTCAACAGTTGAGTACCTCATCTCCCTTGGAAAAAGTTTCCGGCTGATGTACTGAACTGGCAACTGCTGTCCTTCCACTCCTTGCAGTAAGACCGCTCCTAAACCCACATCAGAGGCATCGGTCTGTACTGTAAAGGGTAGATCAAAATCTGGACATTGCAACACAGGTTTCTGAATTAGTCAGTTTTTTAAATCATTAAAGGCATTCTCAGTTTCTTCAGACCACTTTAGCTTTGTAGGACTAGATTTTCTTGTCATGTCTGTTAGCACAGCAGCCCTAGAAGAAAAGTTGGGAATCAGTCTACGGTACCAACCCACTAATCCCAAGAAGGATCTCAGTCTTTTCTTGGTGTTCGGTAAGGGTGCTGCAGCAACTGCCTCCACTTTTCCAATCTGAGGGCAGATACTACCACCTCCAATCAGATACCCTAGGTACTGCACCTCAGGTTTGGAGATGTTACATTTCTTGCCGTTTATGACAAGCCCTGCATTTTTGATGCGTTGAAACACATCTTGAAGATGCTTCAGATGATCCTCCCATGTTCGACTGAAGATAATGTCATCAATGTATGCAGCCGCATACTGTTCTGCACCTCTTAAAACCTGATCCACTAACCTTTGGAATGTTGCTGGCGCTCCATGCAAACCAAAAGGCATCACAGTGAACCGGAACAATCCACTCGGTACTCTGAATGTTGTGAAGTCCTTTGATGAGTCCGTCAATGGCACCTGCCAATATCCTTTACAGAGGTCAAGGGTTGTCAGAAAGTTAGCATGTCCCAAGCGATCAATCAGTTCATCAACCCTCTGCATTGGATAAGGATCAAAAGCGGATACAGAATTCAACTTAGAAAAGTTCACACAGAATCTAAGTTTAGAGTCATCTTTCTTCGGAACAAGCACCACTGGACTACACCACTCACTGTATGAAGCCTCGATGATCCCTGCAGCCAGCATTTCTTCAAGCTCATTCTTAAGCTCAGGCAGTAGCTTAGCTGGAATCCGGCAAGTGGCATCTCTGATTGGCCGTTGATCTGGTGAATGCAGTGTGATCTTGTGTTCAATGAGGTGTGTACGACCTGGCTTCAGACTGAAGAGTTCCTCTGTCATAAGAAGCTGCACCTCATGACGTCTTTCTGATGCTAAATGATGAAGGTCTGGAAGTACAGATTCGACAGTTGAAGTAGGAAAGTACTGCTCCTGAGGTTCATCCTCATCCACAACTGTGCGTGCCCACATAGAAGTTGCAGCCTCTGGCTGATCAGTCCATTCTTTTAACAGATTCACGTGAAAAACTTGATGGGTCTTCCGACGGTCCGGGAGATAAAGCTCATATGTGACCGGGCCTGTCTTCTTTGTGATTTGATATGGTCCTTGCCACTTTGCAAGAAGACTGCTCTCTGAAGTTGGCAACAGAAGAAGAACTTTTTGGCCTTCACTAAAAACTCTTCTTCTTGAAGCTCTATCGTGCCTCTGCTTCTGTTGTTGTTGTGCATGAGCCAGATTAGTGTTGGCAAGTTCCTGAAATTTCTCCAACCTGTCCCTCATTTTAAGAACATACGAGAGCTCAGTGCACATCTGTTCTGACCTAGATCCTTCCCAAGCTTCTCTCAAAACATCCATTGGACCTCTGACTGGATGTCCATAAAGCAGTTGGAATGGTGAAAACCCAGTAGACGCTTGTGGAACCTCTCTGTAGGCAAATAGAAGAAATGGAAGCCATTGATCCCAATCTGACCCTGTATCATTCACAAACTTCCTGAGCATTGATTTTAAGGTCTTGTTGAATCTCTCCACAAGACCGTCTGTTTGTGGATGATAGGGACTGGTCTTTACACCTGGAATTCCCAGCAGACTGTAGACCTCTTTAAGCAGCTTTGAAGTGAAGTTGGTGCCCTGATCTGTGATGATTTCTTTAGGGATTCCCACTCTAGAGAACAGCTGTATAAGGCAGTTTACAATCTGACGAGCCTTTATTTTCCTCAGGGGAAATGCTTCAGGATATCTTGTGGCATAGTCACAGACCACAAGTATATACCTATAACCTGCCTTACTCCGTTCTAAAGGTCCAACTATGTCCATAGCAATGCGTGAAAATGGTGTATCAATGATAGGCATGCTAACTAGTGGAGCCCTATCAGATTTTCTGTTTGGAGCTGTTAGTTGACACTGTGGGCAAGCTTTGCAGTATTTTACTGTGTCAGTGAACTGTTGGGGCCAGTAAAACTTGGAAACCATTCTAGAAAATGTCTTAGATTGCCCCAAATGTCCTGCCCAGGGAATAGAATGACTCATTTTCAAAATAGTGGGTCTCAAACTCTGTGGGATCACCAACTGGTCACCAATCCTGCTGCGGCGATACAACAGATCCCCCTTAACCATAAACACTTCCTCTCTGCCCTTAACTAGAGTTGACTCATGAACACATTTAGCAAACAAAGGTTTAAGTGTTGGATCTTCTTTCTGTAGCTTAGCAACATCACTAGCGCTGGGAAGACCTTCAGACTTTAAAGGTTCTAAATTGTGCCCGGTTATTTTTGTTCCTCTGACCTTTTCACGTCTTCTCACCCTTTTGGTCTTTCTCACGTTTTTGCTAACGCTAACCTCACTCAATGGAACACCCTCCTTTGCAAAAGGTAACTCATCCCAACCAGAAGAATTATCCTGTCGCTTCTCAGACTTTGACCTGGTGATAGCTAGCAAACTCTCACTAACTTCGGCCCGACAGGAATGCCTGGTTATTAGCTCTGTCAGTATTGGGAGATCACGGCCCAATACCACTTGATATGGCAGTGTTTGCAGTACTCCAACTGAAAGGGTGTAACTCTGACCTTCAACTTCAATTGAAACCTCAGCAATAGGATAAGGTACATTGTCACCATGGATACAACAAACATCAACTATTGCTCCAGAAAATATTACATCCCTTGGAAGACTGTCCTGTCTAACCAGAGTGCGATTACTTCCTGAATCTAGCAGAGCTACACAGGGTTTATCCTCAATAAGCACTCCTATAGCAGGTTCATGTTGCTGAAAATCAACTACACTTCTATCCTCCTTACTGAGATGATTTTTTAAAGCAGCACACATGTAATTTTTACTAGCAGATCTTTTAGTACATTGTGCTTTAAAATGACCTACTTGGCCACAGAAATGGCAAGCTTTATTTACTTTACTTCTGTTCTCAGATCTGACAGGATCTGAGTTATTCCAGTTCTGTCTTGGATGCTTCAGTCCAAAGTCAGTGCCACCAGATGATTTGTGTGAAGGAAAGTACGAAAGTGACTTAGCTTTAATGAAGTCTTTCGATGGTCGACGTGCTGACAAGAAGGCTTCAGCCAGTTCTGCTGCTTCCTTGGAAGTCTTTGGATTGTGCTCTTTAATCCACGTCCGAACATCAGGATTCAGTACCTCAAGAAACTGTTCCAAGATGATGGCATCTCCGATTTGTTCCTTTGTCTTTGTGTCAGGCTTCATCCATTTGATGTACCAGTCCTTGAGCCGGACCTGCAGTTCCTTTGGGGTTTCTCCTTCTCCAATGGTACAGGAACGAAACCTCCTTCGATAGGTGTC